TTCTCTGCAATCCGGGCACCTGACAGCATTGCAGTCTCTTGCGAAGTGTCCCCTCTCCTCACATTTATAGCACTGGACCTCAGGGCAGTCTTTCAGTAGATGGTCTGGGCTCGTGCACAGCCGACACGTTTTAACCTGGTGACTGTGCACCACCCTGAAATACTGTGGCCCTTCCGCTGTTTCCATCTTAGTGCTATATGGCAGTGACGAATCTCGGGTGTTTCCATCTCTCACTTGTGGTCGATTATCCAGTCCATTATCGTTTGCCTTGTGTGTTTCTCCTGCCAGTCCAGTGTCGAATGCCGTGCGTCTTCCTCCTGCCAGTCCATTGTCGTTTGCCTTGCGTGTTCCTCCTGCCAGTCCATTGTCAATTACCGTGCGTGTTCCTCCAACCAGTCCAGTGTCGTTTGCCGTTACTCCGTCCATGATTGCAAAAAACAAAAACAAAAAACCACCCTCCAGCCAGCCAAAGCTGCTGTTAGGTGGTTTAAAAAACAAAAAAACAAACAAAAAGCGAACTTAAAGTAACAAAAACTCACAAAACAAACAAATTGACAAAAACAAAATGGGCTTCCTCTCCCAACTACTGCCACACAACGTCCTGGATCGTACCACTAGGGCGTTCTCAAGGTGGTATGGCCGTAAGCGAAATCTGCTGCCAAAATTGGGCTATTTGAATGGTTAGAACATTAGGGTAGTAAACTATATAAAGCTTACAGCACCTGGTATTCCCAGGCGGTCTCCCATCCAAGTACTAACCAGGCCCGACCCTGCTTAGCTTCCGAGATCAGACGAGTTCGGGCGTTCTCAAGGTGGTATGGCCGTAAGCGAAATCTGCTGCCAAAATTGGGCTATTTGAATGGTTAGAACATTAGGGTAGTAAACCATATAAAGCTTACTAGGTCTCCCATCCAACACCCTGCTTAGCTTCCGAGATCAGACGAGTTTGGGCGTTCTTTTTTTTCTTTTCTTTTTTTTTATTATTAACAAAAAATTTTACAGTACAAACATCATCATTTTCAACATTACATTTTTCAGCAGCCTTCTATTTAAATTTTCTCAGAAATTAAATACAAGTTCATTCGATGCTGCTACAGAAATAAATTTGCTTCCATCAACAAAAAGAACACAAAAATCAATATTCATATATGTATAAATCATTCTTATGTGCTGTTTTAACAAGGCTTTGAAGATACACCACATATTTCCTTTCTTTTTTCAAAATAAGCTACATTTCTCCTCAATCTTACAGCATACCTTGCATAGCTTAGTACCATATTTAAGAGATGCAAGTTCCCTTTCACATTCTTTTCCCTTACTATTCCAAACAGAAAAATCGTACTCCATTCCTCATCCACAAAATGTGTTTTCTCCCAATTTTTCCTCACTAGTTGCTTTAACATCTCATGATGCTCTTCAAGACCTTGACATTCTACATATAAATGCATTAAATTTTCAACCTCCCCGTCACATACATCACATTTTCTCCCAATACTTTTGTCAATTTGGTGCAGGACTTCTTTTGTATATAGTCTATTATGCCGGAGCATGAAATCATTCTGCTCACATTCAATTGAATTATACCTGATATGTAAATTCTTCCACAACATCTCTGACTTTATCTCTGGATACACCTTTCTCCAATATATTTCAGATGTAGGCCTTTTAACTTCTTTTTTCAACATAATCCTATAAAACCCTTTTAAAAGCATCTTAGCTAACTCAACTTTACAATTATTCTGCTCAATATACATTTCAGGAAACGTATACTCCTTAGTTTTAACCTCTTGTCTTTCTATTAAAGCAATCCAAGATTTTGGAATGCTACTCTTGATTTTTTTCAAAAGCATTAACAATTGTACCTTTCCACATATTTTCATTCCCTTCCATTACAATGTCCAATATTGCCTGAGAAGGTAAAAACCCCGGAACCACTTCATACACATAGTCTTTTATCTGGTATAGCCCAACCTTCATAAATTTCTTGTTTTCCAACACATGTCCCCTATCTGTTATCTTAGGGTTCAAAAATACTGGCTGATTTAGCACTAATTCAATCGTATCACACTTATAATCCACTTGGGGCAGAAACTTGGCCCAAGCTTGAAGAACCTCTTTATAAAATGGTGGTACATCTTTTATCATAGATTCCCTTAAACACAAACAAATTACTTTCACTTAAAGCCCCAAATTTCTCTAAACAATCCCTCATGCAGTGTTTCCAACCATATGTTTCTTTATTGTATAAATATTTCTTAACAACTTTAAGTCTTAACGCCTTCCTCCTTACATTCAGGTCCATCAGATTTAAACCTCCTTCCTTTTTATCTGCTATCAGAACCTTTTTTGAAATTCTCACATTTTTCCCGTTCCACAGGAAATCTACTATGATGGAATTTGCCTCTTTTAAAACCCATTCTGGCATGTCTAGCACACTCAATGCATGAACAAATCTTGATATTAACAAAACATTGATAACAGTCACTTTCCCTTTCAATGTGAGACCTCTTAATTTCCAGTAATTCACAGTTTGCCTTATTTTTTGTAAGATTACTGACCAGGTTATATCCCTTGCTTTAATAGCCTCGACACCCAAATTCACTCCCAGAACCCTGATGTAATCTTTGACATTTTTAAAAGGGATATCACAATCCGATATTTTAGCTTCTCCAAATGACATAATTTCAGATTTCTCAATATTAATCTTTGCCCCCGCTGCCCTACCAAAAGTTTGTATATGCTCCACTATCCTATTTATACTTTCTATATCCTCCACGGTAAACGTAGTATCATCTGCATATTGATGAACCAGCCTGACCCCTTCATCTGCAAAATGAATAGGCTTTAAATCTTTATCTGCTTTTATTAGGGTTGCCAGCGGCTCCACAGTTATACTATATAGCAAGGCAGACAAAGGGCAACCCTGCCTTATCGATCTCTCAATATTAAACTCATCCGTTAACACCCCATTACATTTAACTACACTATGTGCACTCATATACAACAATCTTATCCATGATCTAAATTTCTCACCAAACCCAAACGTTTCCAAAGCCTTCCCTAAAAATTGGTGCTCCACCCTGTCAAAAGCCTTGTTTAAATCCACACTTAACAAAATACCTCCTTTCCCCTTCATATAAGCTACCGCATCTCTGATTGTACTTATAATGTCTGCAATATCTCGGCCCGGTATACTGTAAGCCTGTGTTGGGGCCACAATACTCCCTATTACATTTTTCAGCCTATTTGCTAGGATTTTCGCCAATATTTTATAGTCAGTGTTTAAGAGACTGATTGGCCTATAGTTTTCTAATCGTAATCTACTCCCTTTATTTTTAAAGAGAATAGTTAACCCCAGCTGCCATTGTCTTTGGCATTACCTGCTTGTCTTCCATATAATGATATAGCTCTAACAATACTGGTGCTAAAACATCTTTAAAGGCTTTATAGAACTCTCCAATTAAGCCATCTAGACCTGGGCTTTTCTCCCTTCAAAATATGCCAAATTTCTCCTCGCCCATATTGCGTACCTCGCATGACTCAGAATAAAGTGACATAGGTTAACTCCTGGATCTTTACAGTTTGTGCTTACACCAAATAAAAACAATTTTTTCCATTCGTTTCCCGTTACATCTTTCCCCCAATCATCCTTGACCATTTTTTTCATTTTGTCATGGAACCCATCAAGCTCTTTGCATTCAAAAAATATATGCATCAGAGTTTCAGGATACATCTTACATACATCACACTCCCTATTTACGTTTTTATTCATTTGATGAATCACCACCTTCGTATATATTCTATTATGTCTGAGCTTAAAATCTAAATTCTCACAATCCATCCCATTATATTTCACACTTAAATTTGTCCATATATCCTTTACATTAAATTCTGGGAACAGTTTTGGCCATACACTTTCTGAAGCAGGCAATTTAATTTCCTTTTCCACCAATATTCTGTATATTTCTTTCACTGTTAAATCAGACAAATATTTCTTCTTTTCATTTTTCATAAAATACATATCTGGAAATCCCCAGTCCCCCATTTTAGTAACCTCTCTCTCTATCATCTCCACCCATCTCCTGGGCAGACTGGTTTTTATGTTTTCACATACACAATCAACTTTTGACTTTTCAATCTCATCATCCCATCCCACAACACAATCATAAATAGCTCTATTTGGTAGAAAACCTTTTACATATTCATACACGAGGTCCTTTACTTGTCTGACTCCAGCTTTCATAAACAATCTATCATAGAACATTTTCCCTTTCATTTGTATCTTAGAATTCAGAAATCAGCTTCAGTATTAGGGCTGGGTATCGATTCAATGTTCCAATTCGATTCGATTTCGATTCTCAAGCTCTCAAATCGATTCGATTTCGATTCTAGATTCGATTTCGATTCTCGATTCAAATTTTGATTCTCGATTCAACTCAATGAAAATCGATTTAATGCTTATACAATTAATAAAAAAGAACAGTGAATTTAAGTTTATAAGTGGATAATTAATAAAAAGAAATTAAGAGCCACAAACCTGTATATTAAACTTTTTATTTTATTTTGATGCAAGATCAAAAAGTCAGAACAGTCCCATTCCTTGATCAAACAGGATCAGGTTATTTAATTTTTAAGATAATATTACAACATTAGCTGTAAAATGGAGGCTGATGAACAATGTAGGACAACTAATACTGGCTTATTGGTGATAGTTCACCCAAAAATGAAATAATTGTGTCATCATTTATCTATGTATTTATCACGTGTATATATATAAAAACAATTCTGTTAAGCAAAAAAAATAAAAAGATTTTAACAATATGGGTAACCAAACTGTTTTTGGTCTCCATTAACTTTTTTTTTCAATACTATATGGAAGTCAACTTTTGTGTTAACAGAAGAAAGAAATTCATAGATGAATACATCCATAAATTACACTTTCACATAAAACTAACACTTGGACTCTACCAACAGTAGGCTCAAAGTATAGTAACACTGCCTCATTGGAAACTGTAATTTTTTTGCAAGAAAAGGAGTTGGTCAACGTGCTCTGGCAGAAGGCAACTTCTTTGAGCTGTAATAATGTCTCCAGCTGTGGAGAAAATTCTTTCAGCAGGGACACTGGTCCCGGGAACACAAAGGTAGCGTTTTGCCTGGAGGGACAAAAGTGGGTACACTCCTTCATGCTTACACCACCACTTAAGTGGATCATCTGAGAGAGGTATAGGTGTAACTTCTCTGTATTTGCCAACTTCTTCTCGTGCTCTGTCAGCAACTGGAGCACAGACATATGCTGCCCCAAGCAGATCCAACAGAGCACAGGATTCTTTTGACCTCTTTGGTGGGGCTGGGGAGGGGTCACTATCACCTTCACTAAGGGATTTTTGCTCCTGGACAGGTGCACTGCCTCCATTACCAGCACTATCAGATCCTTGCTGCTGATAGTTAGAAAAAATGAAAATGTCAATTAAAATTACATTTGAATTTAATTTTGCCCATTTTATTATTTTACTTTAATTATATTTATATGCAAATATAAATACTAAGTTTTTGTTTGTTTTCATTTTTAAAACTTTATTCAATACCTTAACTTGCTCAAGAGTGACAATCTCACTGATCAATGTTGTGAATGTGTCCTCACGTTCCTCATCAGAGATGAAAGGAAGAGTCTTGAAACGAGGGTCCAGGGCAGATGCAACATACAGCTTCTCTTTAAGATTTGCATATCTTTAAAGATCAGACAATAACATTGAAATTACCTTATGCCATCAACATAATCGATGTTAAAATTAACAATAATGTAATCTGTTGTAACATCCACACAAATGTTTAATTTTTATAAAGATAATACTATCTGTTTTTTTAAACATACCTAAACCTCAAGTTGTCATGTATGGCAGATTTGAGTTCCTTAATGACAGTCGAATCACCGGCAGTCGAGCGCATCTCATCAAGGAGCTGTGCGTGCAATGGTGCAATAATAGAGAGGGTAGCGGAGTTCTCCCCAGACATCACCAGAGTTGCACTCTTCATCGGACGAAGAGCTTTCACGATGTCCTCTCCCACAGTTATATCCCACAAAGATCCTTTTCGCTCCGACGTACTTCAGGAGAAAGAAGTGCGGCTGAGATTGCCGGTTGCTGCTCCAAAAATCTGTCGAGCATGTCCAGCGCGCTGTTCCACCTGGTCACCACGTCAATTGTCAGTTTGCGACAGGGCAAGTTCAGCAGCCTCTGTTTTTCTTTGAAAACTTTGTTGGCGTTTGCGCTCCTGTGAAAGAATGTCACTATGCGCCTAACTCGGCCTAGCAAGCGAGAGATGGCCGGAAGTTTCAGCGCAGCTTGCGATGCTAGATTTATTGTATGAGCAAAGCAGCCAATATGGAGCAGCTCCATCATCTCCACGGCACGTATCATATTGGTAGCATTGTTGTTGGTCACAATGATCGGGTCTTTCTTAGTAAGCCCCCACTCTTCCAACGCATCTGAAAGCAATGCACATATATTTGCTCCTGTGTGACTATCCTGCATAGCTCTGGTCTGCAACACGTTTGAAATGAGAACCCAGTCATCTAAATAGTGGCAGGTAATTGTGACATATGTGTCTTGATGTCTTGACGTCCAACCATCGCATGTGAGAGCTACTCTGTCCGCTGTCGTTAGGGACAGAGTAATCTTTTGCTTCACTTCATTGTACAGTTTTGGGATAATCTCTTCGCTCATCCGTTTGCGACTAGGAATGGAATAACGTGGCTCCAGGACATTCAACATGTATCGGAATCCGTCGTTTTCGACTACGCTATATGGCCTTATATCTTTGCAAATAAAAAATGCAATTGATTCAGTGATCTTTTGTGCACGAGGAGAATTGTGAGGAATTTTGCTTGTGAATGCATTTGAAATCTTCGGTTGTGTGCTCTGCTGTGGTGTGTGGGTGTTGCAACCTGCACGTCTGGGTGATGTCTCATCAAATGGTTCCGCAGATTTGTAGTATTACTACAGCATTTCACCTCAGCATTACACATCAGGCATATGGCTTTGTTCTTGTCCACCACACTATCCTCACCTTCTTGCTTGCGAAATCTAAAATGCTTCCATACCTCTGACTTTTTATGTGAAGGAATTAACGTCGACAACGCACCTGAAACCGCCATTTTAAGCACCGATTGAATGAATGAATGAATGACTGACAGGCTGGCTCGCCTCTCGCTCCTCTGTAACAACACGCAAGGCAAATAAGAGGGTGACATCTAGTGGAAAAGACTAGTAATTACATTAACGTTAATCTTCAATGTTTGCGGAAATAAATATGAAAAAATCGATTCTTGGCCTTTGAGAATCGATTTTGAATCGACCAGATTTTAAAAAACGATTAATCGAAAAATCGATTTTTTTGCCCAGCCCTATTCAGTATTCAGCTTCTTCAATGCCATGAACAACCCTTCTTCTCCACATCCACTACTTTTGTTCAAATAATCTTTAAAAAAACCTTTCCATCCACAATCACCTTTATCATATAAATACTTCTTTATTGTTTTCACTCTTATTGCTTTTCTTTTTACACCTAAATCAATCAGCTTCAAACCTCCTACTTTAAAATCTGCTATTAATGTTTTCATTGATATTTTTACCCCTTTCCCTCCCCACAAAAAAGTATTCACCACCTCCTTCATCTCATTTAGTCAGCCCGATCTCATGAAAGTTCGTATCTATGGCGCGAATGTAATTTCTCGTGGCATTTATACGCCAAAAACAGTTTTTGCGTGTATATGGCACGTGATTTTCGCGTACATATGATACGCACTTTTTTGCGTATAATACGCACGAACTCCCCAACCCCCTCCCCCCAAACCTAACCCAGGGTTTTTTAGTGCGTACCATATACACGAAAAAAACACTTTTGGCATATAAATGCCACGAGAAATGACACTCGTGGTATAGATACGCATCTTCATGAGACTGTGTTGCATTTAGTACCCAGTCTGGTAGATCAAGTGCTCCAATAACATAATTACATTTGGAAAGCAATAATGAATTTACAACTACTACCTTACCCCTCAATCTTAATTCTCTTAATCTCCAAAACTGCAAAACCTGTTTTATTTTATTCAAAATTCTAGTCCACGTCGCATCCCTAGCTTCTTTTGCATTTACCCCCATATTCACTCCTAAAATCACCATATGTTCTGTTGGGACTTTAAAAGGAATATCACACCCTCCTATATCCACTCCTCCTACACTCATTATTTCAGATTTATCAATATTTATTTTTGCACCTGATGCTTTTCCATACGTTTACCATGTGTTTCATTATTTTATTTACACTCTCCATATCTCTTACTGTGAATGTTGTGTCATCTGCATATTGATGAATAACACTCAACCCTCCATATGGAATTGGAATCCCTCTGATCTCCTTATCCCCTTTTATCAATGTTGCCAGCGGTTCAGCTGATATTGAGTACAACAAAGCAGACAGAGGACATCCCTGCCTTACTGACCTTTCTAATGGAAAAGGGTCTGATAGAGCTCCATTAACCTTTACACAACTGTTTGCATTGTTATATAACAAATTTATCCACCCTAAAATCCTCTCTCCAAACCCAAACTTTCTCATTGTTTGTTCTACAAAACTATGCTCTACCCTGTCGAACGCTTTATTTAAATCCATACATAATACTATCCCCCCTTCCCCATCCTTATTCAGACTATCCACCACATCTCTTATTGTACAAATTGTGTCTGCTATGTCCCTTCCCGGTATACTGTATGCTTGATTCGGTTTTATCCCTGCTACTTCTTTTATCCTGTTGGCTAAAATTTTTGTCAGAATCTTATAATCGGAGTTTAAAAGACTTAAAGGTCTGTAATTTTTCAAACTGAATGGACTACCTTTGTTTTTGTACAAAACAGTAATTACCCCTAACCCCATTGAATCTGGCACCTCCCTTATCTCTTCCATACTTCTATAAAGCCTCAGCATTATTGGTGCTAAAATTGACAAAAGTCTTATCAAACTCATGTGTTAAGCCATCTGATCCTGGGCTCTTGTTCGGCTTTGTTTGTTTAATCGCCACTTCTATTTCTTCAATACTTATGTCCCCATCACACATCTTTCTGTCTTCTTCGGACAACCTAGCATCTACAGTATTTAAAACTTTATCCACACATTCTTGTTTTATACCATCCCTACTAAATAGTTTCTTATAAAACAACTCTACTTCCTTCATTATCTCTACGTGAGATGTTATCTTTTCACCTTCTTCTTTTATCAATTCTGTAATATAATTGTTCCTCTGTTTTTTTCCCCTCTAGATTCAGAAAGAATTTTGTACATCTTTCTCCATCCACTGCATACTGTATTCTACTTTCACTTTTGCACCCTCACACTTCTCCTTTTCATACTCATCTATTTCTGTTTTTATCTGAAAGAAAGGCTCTTTTCCATGGTCAGGATTCTTTTCTATTTTATCTGCTTCTTTTTCCAAAGCACCTTTCAGAGCATCCATTTTACTCTTTCTCATAAAATTCCTTTGCTTTGAATATCTTATACTTCTTTTTTTAATGTTCCCTTTCATTTTTTCCCACCACTCACACGTTTTCCTTGTACAAAGGATTTTCCATTTCATATCTTATGCATCTACTAATTTTTTTCCCTGTATGCCTCTTCCTTCAACAGAGATGCATTCAAACACCACAGTCCTCGGCCTCTTCCCTCCATATTTAAACTCATCCTTACTGTCATGGCAGCATAGTCACTAATACCTAAAAACTTGTTTTTTTTACGTTTTTCACATAACTCAGCATTTCTCTTTTAATTAAACATAAATCTATTCGACTTTGTTTTAAACTTCCCAGCACCATTTGTCTTCTTGAAAACTCTCTTTTAAACGGATTCTCCTCTCTCCAGGCATCAACCATGTCCTCACTTTGCATCATATCATTTAAATATTTTCTGGACACATCTGATTTATAATTTGCGCTGCTTGACGCATCAAGTCTTGTACACCACACATTAAAATCCCCCACTACTATACATTTGCCTGTACATAGTGGCTTCATTTGCTTAAAGACGCCCCTTTCAGTTTCAACATTAGGTGCATATAAATTAATCAATCTAAACAATTCATTGCACCAAGCAAATTCTATAACTAGCAATCTTCCTTTACCATCACTGTATATTTGTTTTACATTCTGCATTCTTCCACCTTTTAACAATATTGCCACACCACAGGCTCTTTGACTACCATGATTGACAAAAATATCTTCTTCCCAATGTTTTTTTATATTAGGCATTATATCTTCAGTCCAATGAGTCTCTTGCAGACATATCCCAGATAGCAAACTGACATTGAATCAACGTGGAAATATGACATCGAAACAACGTTGATCTGACATTGTTTTGCTCATCGAATTAACGTTGAACCAACGTCAGATGCGTCATTCTTTCAAAACTAACGGAAAATCAACCTGAAATCAACGCGTTGTTTCAACGTTATGAAAGCAAACCAATTTTCGATTTCATTTAGCTTTGAAGAATGCCGCGTCTGACGTTGGTTCAACGTTAATTCGATGAGCAAATCAACGTTGTTTCAATGTCATGAGAGACGTCGTTTCCACGTTGATTCAATGTCAGTTTGCTGTCTGGGATTACATCTGTTTTTAGCATTCCAATCACCTGCTCAAACTTATTTATCTCTCGAAGTCCATTACTGTTCAAACAGGCAATGCTCATTGCATCACATATAGCCTGCATTACATTAATGAGAAAAAAAACAAAATCATTAGGAATAAAATTCAGTCTTACTTTTTTCCACTGTTCTCCTCCATTTCAATATTTTTCCGTTTCATCTGTATGAAATTTCCTTCATTTGTGTCCATGTCACCCCAGATGTAGTCTCTAACACCATCTTCTCTCCCCCTACTCCAACTGATCCTTGCCCTTTCTTGCTGCCACCGTCCGGACCAATACCTTGACTCTTGATTGGCCCTCCATCCCCTTTTTCAGACATCTTCTCCGCTGCAATTTCCACCTTACCAGCTCCTAAATTTGTCTCTTTACTTGGGCACAATTTTTCTCCCCTCCTTCCTTTGCCTCTCTTCGTCAACACTTGCCCCTGGACAGCCTCCTCTCGATGGTTCTCCTTCCCAGTGTCCTCCCGTTCTGTTGTTGCTTCACTTTGAATCCAAGTTTCCTCTATCTCCTCTTTCTCCTCCTCAGAACCCTCCTCTTCTTCCCCCTCCTCCTCCTCATCATGATTGCTATACAGATCCGAAGACTCATCCTCTTCCTCTAGTTTTACACACACATAACGCAGCCTCCCTGGCACACACGCTGCAGTTTCCACCAGTGCATTCTCGCACGTAATGTCCCTGCTTGCCACACTTGAAGCATTTAAAACTTGGACATTCTCTCACAATATGGCCAGGTATATAATATCATACTTATTTTTTAATTCTTGTCTGCTGAACTCCTCTTTTGCTTCCTCCATTACATCAACTATGTACTGTATCGGTAAAAATCCTTCTTTATATATAAAACATCTCTCACTTTAACTATTCCAGCTTCCAACCATTTTCTAAAATAAATTTCCTTCCGTTGGTTTAAAATGTCCGTATTTAGGAATAAAGGCTGATTTAAAACGCTTTCTCTTCCTTGTAAATTGTACCTTACATTTAACAAAAATTTTCCCCAAGCCCTTAAAACCTCTCCATAAAATTTTGGCAGCCCCACTGTCATCCACTCTTTTGTTTTCATCCATAAAATGTTA